ATAGTCTTGATTGAGTAATCGGGGAATTGTGCTCGCAATTTTATGATTTGAGCAAGTAGTCTAGCAAATGCTACATTCCTAGTTAAAAGTAGGCAAACATATGACCATCTTGTAGAAGAATCAATTAATACCATAAAGTAACGAAATGGTCCATATGGTGGGTGTATTGGCCCACATATATCTCCATGTGTTCTTTTCAAGAAAGTTGGAGATTCAATATTGACCTTTGTAGTTGAAGGTCTAATGACTAACTTGCCTTGCGAACAAGCTACACATGAATAATCATTAGATAAAAGAATCTTCTGATTTTTTAAAGGATGTCCATGTGAGTTGTTTATTATTCGACGCATCATTATGGTTCCTGAATGTCCAAGTCGATCATGCCAAAGTATAAAATTTTTTGAATCAACGAACTTCTGGTTTGTAACATTATTTGATTCGACCATTTTTATAAATGTAAAATACATGTCAGACGGGAGTGTATGAAAATTTTCTTTTATCTGCTTCTTGCCAAATACAAAAGAAGTGATGCAAAGATATTCAACATTATTTTCTTGCATCGTCTCAATTTGATATTCATTGTAGCGAATATTTTTAAAACTAAGCAAATTTCTTCTGAATTTGCTAGAATAAAGTGTATCGTCAATATATAATTTTGTATTATTTGGTAAAATAATACAAGCTCTTCTGGAGCTTTCAACAATATTCGACGCACCCGATATCATGTTAACATTATTTTCAGCTAATATTAAGTTCAAAAAGTATTTTTTTGTCTTGAAAAATAATATGTGTAGTTGTACTATCAATTAAGCAGCTGTCTTGATTATCCATCATGAATCTATAAATATAACAAAATATACAAAATTAAAAAAAAAACTTGAATTTAGATTTAAAGAAGTAAACATTACTTAATATCATGAAATAAACGGTGCATAATAGAGTTTTACTTTTTTATTTTTTTTGTGCGGAAAAGTAAAAACATATTTCAAACTGAATTTTTAAAACGAAAGAAATACTAATAAATTAATCTATATCTTCTATCACACCACCCCCAACCAAATGGTCAATATTTTCATTTGGATCAGTAAAGAAATCGGAGACATCCAAATGACTCACATCAATTGCACCATCATAATCAGCAAAATTAGTCTCCAATTTTTCACATCAAGAGATCCACAAGATGTTTTGAGGTATGACACGTACGTGCCCAATGCCCTTTCATTCCACATCTGAAGCAACTTTTTTCATACTCCTTTTTAGATTTACCACTCTCGTTTGCTTTGTGCCTTTTGAATTTATTGCCTTGTTGTTGATAATTTTGTTGATTATTTCTTCCATGATTTATTCCACATACACGTTCGTGTCCGTGTCCACGTCCACGTTCGTGTCCGTGTCCACGTCCACGTTCACGTTCGTGTCCGTGTCCACGTCCACGTCCACGTTCACGTTCGTGTCCGTGTCCACGTCCACGTCCTTGTCTTGATATTGTATTTGTTTCAGACAATATAGTACTATTTGCTTCAGGCAATGGTACAGAACCAGTTAGACGTAATCCATGATTTTTCAGCAACAATTCATTATTTTGTTCATCAACTAGTAGGCAAGATATAAGTTTTGAATACTTTTTGAAACCACGCTCACGATATTGCTGCTGCAGGAGCACATTCGAGGCATGAAAGGTGGAGAAAGTTTTTTCCAGCATATCTTCATCAGTGATTTTTTCTCCATACAAAGTGAACTTTGAATATATTCTGAACAATTCAGAATTGTATTCACTAACCATTTTAAAGTCTTGCAAACAAAGGTGCATCCACTCATAACGGGTTTTGGGGAGGACTATAGTCCTTTGATAATCAAATCTTTCAGTTAACTTTTTCCAAAGGACTTGTGGATCTTTTTCAGTGAGATATTCTCAATTTTTAATCCATCGTGAAGATGGTGACGGAGGAAAATGAGTGCTTTTGCATGATCCTGCAGGGATTCATTGTTTCCTTCTTTTATTGTCTCTCCCAGACCTTTTAAGACGAGATGGATATCAGCATCCAGTATCCATGACAAATAATTTTTACCAAATATGTCAAGTGCAGCAAACTCAAGTTTCGTAATATTTGTCATTTGTTTAACTACACAATAAAAAAAAATACAATTAATTTCAAAGAATATGATTAATCATCACATGTTAATCAAATAGTCAATATCAACGCGATTTTAAGTTACGTGTTTTCCTCTAGGGATAAACACTAATTTGAAATAATATGTTCTTTGAAACATATGCTACTTTTGGAGCACATTATATTTTTCTATTATTTATTCAAGTGCAATATGTCAATATGCTTCTGGAATATTGAGAGTTATAATTTATGCTCTTCAGGAACAAATAATATTCTTATAATGTTGTGCTGCTCCTGGAGCAACAATGAATAGATCTATGATTAATATTTTTCTGGAATATTAATTATAATATTGTGCTACTTCATGAGCAACAACAATTAAAAATAAATTTAATGTAATGTTTCATAACTAAACATAAAAAAAATGATAATACATCCAAGTGCTCACCATTAATTAATATACAAACACATGTAATATATTATTTTGAATTAATAACGTGAGTCGAGTGAAACACAAAAAAAAATTGATGACATGTAGAAACCTATTCACATATTATGGCACGAAATTCTAATTATGTGCAATTAAAAGAATTGAATTAGTATTAACCAATTAAGACATGAAATTTGCAGAAATCAATGGATTTGAGAGAAAAGATGAGTTGGGTACAGTTATTTGTTAATTGTATATTATACATATATAAAATCAGCCAAAATAGAGATCTGGAATTGAAGTTTGCTTACAAAGAACATTGACCAATTAAACAAAAAAAAAATCATAAGCATGTGTAGAACGTAAAGGGCTAATCTAAATATAAGGAGGGTATAGGAACATGAATTAATGCATATCAATTGATTTAACATAAATATATCTCCATAAAAATGCACGTGGATTGATATAAAGGAAAAAAATATTAATTAATTCAAAGAGAGGTACAAAGAAAACATAATGATCGAGAAAGATGAGATCATGTATTGCAGATTCAACATATGTATATGTAAAATTCACGTATTATCAAATTAATTTTGATATACGTGATAGATGATTATGAAAAAAATTTATTACTTTCTAAGAGTTTCGTGCTGATAACGTGTTATAAAATGAGAGGAAAAGAGAATAGAGAAAACTCAATAAACTTTTTGTGTGTATTATTGAAAACCAAAACCCTATATTTATAGGTAAGAATCAGGGATACAATGATAATAATTTTTAGGGTTATAGGGGTACAAATGTCATTAACCAATAAACTTTAATAAACTTTCCATTTACAACAATAATCTTATTATTATCTTACTAGAATAATTCTACGTGTACAGACAAATATTCACAGAAGCTTTACAGAATTTCCTAAAATACCAGTAACACTGGCCAAAAAAGAGAAGGAAAAAACGCGGGAAGAGAGTGTAAGAAAAGGAAACATGAGGGAAGAGACGAGCCCATTTCTAGCTGTAATTCCCGTCCATCTTCTTCGACAGCTTACCGATCCAAGTTCGTCTTCTCCGATAGATGAACTCAGTTGATTTCTCTATTCGACTTGTGCGTTTTTCAGTCAAAAAAACCAGTCGACTTATGAAGAAAACTGAGAAAGGAGACTTCGAAGGTGGAGAACATTTACATCTCTGACTTCAGCAAAATCAGTCCAAGTTCGTCTTCTCCGACTAGTGATTAACCAAGCGAGTATGATATTGGCAAGATAGTTGCTTCAGTTCATGAAGTCTTCCTTCATTCTCTTCTGTCGTTGCATTGTCTCGTCATTCTACACAATTTTCACAAAATCCATAAAAATCATCATCAAATCGGAAGAAAAAAAGTTCCAATGGGAAGATAGTTGCTTCAGTTCATGAAGTCTTCCTTCATTATCCTCTGCAGTTGCATTGTCTCATCATTCTACACATTTTCACAGAACCCATAAAAATCCATCATCAAATCGGAAGAAAAAAAGTTCCAAAAACCCCCAATTTAAGAGTGATAAAATATTAAACCATTTGAACGTGTACATATTGATCTATAGGCTTTTGATTCTCATGAAGCAAGTCGATCCGGCTGCGCAGGGTGCTCCAGAATCACTTATCTGAAGACGGGCTAAATATTGAGGGCGAAGATCCCGTTAAGCTTGGCAATCTCTGATAAAATAGCAAGAAATGCTTGGAAATTAACAGAAAATTCTGGAGTTTAATTAAATGAAAGAATGGTTGTAAGGTGTAAACAAATCTCTTTGATTGAAGAAGGAGATATAGATTCCATATAAGTCGCCATTTACAGATATTCTGCGCTCGCCCCTTTTTCTTTTCCCTTTGGTTGTTTTGTTTTCATTTTGAACCCTGCTCCCTGTCTCGGGTCAGGGACAGGGGCGGCGCCACGTGGTGCCCCCTATTGGAGGGGCGCCGGCCAGGTGCCCTTGTCTTTCTCCCTGTCCCTGACCCGGGACAGGGAGAATTATTCTTTCATTTTTTGTTAGGCAGATGCCATGTCATTTTGTGAGACTTCTGTACAATAGCTTTCTGTACGTCTAGCATGGTTGATCTTACTATAATGAATGGGGGCAATAAAATGAGGCACAGCCCCGCCCCGCCCCAACATCTCGGGTCGGTTTAATTTGCATTTCTTCATTATTTATTCAACACGTGTACCATTGTGACAAAACTTATGAAAGTACAACATTTCGCACCGCGTTAATTAATTGGATCAGTGTGTCCCCGTAGAATCCGAATCCCAAAAAATTTCCATATTTCAGGAGAGAAAAAGGAAGAGATTAAAATTTATTTTTCGTTTAAAATTTGTTTATACTTTGCTTGATTACTTTAATTTTTGCGAATCTTATTTTCGAAGCTAAATAATCACCATACGATTTTAATTTCTCTTAGATCATCCTGCCCTTCAGGTTCGTTTATATTATCTTTTTCTTTAAACTGCCCTAGTTTTATTTAACAATTTATAAGTGTGATAAAAAGATGTTTTTACAATATGAGGGCCTGTAAAAGTTGGTTTTTAAGGGTTTTGCTTTTCCAAATTTAAATCATGTTCAGGTTCATTGCATTTACTGCAGTTTGATTTTTGATTTATAATCTTCTCTTTCTCGTGTTGACTCGTTGTTGTTATTGCATTTTTTGAATGAAGAAATGTTGTTTGATAATCTGAACTTAATTACCGTTCTTAAGAATCAATTGGTACTGTGATTAAATACTTTAGCTTGAAAAATGAGCTAACATTACTGCTTTTCCATGATAATTTTACTTCTATGTTCGTTCCTTTTTCTTTTTTTTTTTGTTTTATTTATTTATTTATTTATTTTTTTGCACAAGTTTTCTTAATTAATGACAAGAGAAGTGCTTAATCTGTTACCGTTAATGGGTTATCGGAAAGGAAAGGAAGGCTTTTGTTATGCAGTCTCATTGAAACATCAAATCTTTTCTTATAATAGGTTATGTTTAGCTAATCATTGCACATGAAGTTATTACTTGTTCAACATTGATTGCTTGCCTTCTAGATAGTGTTACAAATATGCTATTTGGGAACTGCATATATTGTTGGACAATTATAATTGTTGAGGTTTTCAAGAAACTAGTATAAATGTGATTTTAATTTATTGTTGCCTGCTTTCATTTATTTATTTATTTTTTGTAATTTTAGGGACAAGGGACTCATGGCAACTGCGACAATGGCCACTGCAGCAGGTGCTGCTGCACTTTTGTATTATACACTGAACAAAAAATTACAGTCTAATCCATTAACAGGTGATGAAGAAGACGGGAGTGATGTACAGAATCATGCTCCATTAGGGATTGCTAGGGTCTCTCATAGGCTTGTTCAAGCTCCTGCCACGTGGATAGAGACAATTTCTACTTTGTCGGAGACTCTTAGATTCACTTATTCCGAGACTTTGGGAAAGTGGCCCATTGGGGATTTGGCGTTCGGTATCAGCTTTCTCTTAAAGAGGCAGGTAAGCACATATCAATGTTTGATATGCTCCGAATCAACATGCATGTAGACACGTGTCTTTGGTTTTCTTTTTCCAATTTCTATTGAAATAATATCACTATTAGTTTAATCCAACAATGATGGTCTGTCCTCTACAATATCCACAAAATAGGAGGAAAGAACCCACACTGATGCCTAGAAATCCCTTAACTTAAAGAACAAAGAAGTAGATGAAAATGGTTTTTTCTTTGTTCAGTTGAATCATAACACAAGCCCTACATAATTGAGATTGGTAAAAAGGGTCTAATTCTGATACTTTAAGACCTGAGTTCGATTTTGATTTTTATGTAAGGGCACTATATTTTTAGTGAATGTTGTGTAGAATAGTGAAAAAGAACGGTAAGAGAAGACAAACAAGAATTTATGGTACAGATTTAATGTATAATTAAGCAGCATCTATACACATATCTTAACCTGGAATTTTTATTTTACGTCCGATCCTGATCATTAGATACCTGATAGTACCAAATGCCTCCCTCCTATCTTGCTGCAGCTTATGCCACTGAAATATGTTATTTTAAAGCATGATATGTCTGGATTGCCCGGAATTGGGCCCAGATTTTCATACTCATAATCACGTTCCAATTGATTTGAAAACCTAACGTTTTTTTAACTTTTCTAGTTTATCTTTTAAGCACATGAACTTGCTTTACAGGGGAACTTGCATTTTGGTCACATATTTGGTGATAAAGATAGTTCACAGCTCAAAGGACCTGAAATTGCTGCAGAGCTTAGATACCTCTTGAATTTGCTAACCCTCTGCTGGCATTTCTCCAAAAAGCCCTTTCTTACGTTTCTGGAGGAGACAGGCTATTCTGAAGAAGATGTTCTTCTTCAAGAACCCAAAGCTGGAGTAAGTTTCCTATGTCAAGTGATTACTCACGAGGGGTGTCTGTACCGTGATTTGTTTTCTGTTTAGTGAATCTTTTTCAGGAGAGTAGACAGAAGAACAATTATACATTATATGGTCTTCGTCATATGATGGACATGGTGTACTATTTTGCAGATTTTAAAGCCAGCCTTCACTGTTTTGGTTGATCACAAAATGAAAAGTTTCCTCTTACTAATTCGTGGAACTCACAGTGTAAAGGACACTTTGACAGCTGTTACTGGTGCAGTGGTACCTTTCCATCATACAGTGGTACATGATGGAGGAGTCAGCAACTTGGTTTTAGGTTATGCCCATTGCGGAATGGTTGCAGCTGCTAGGTGGATTGCAAAACTTGCTACTCCTTGTCTAGAGAAAGCCCTTAGCACTCATCCTAATTACAAACTTACGGTACCATACACTGTGTTTTCCACTTGTGCTTCCTTTTGTTTTCTTTATTTATGTTCAATAATCTGAATTGTGACAATGAACTGCTATCAGAGATCACCACATCTACGAGAGTCATCATCTTTTAAATTTGTAGTGCATATAGTACATCTTGATATATTATAAACAGGAAGAAGGTTTTTTTCTTTGGTGCATCACTTGTTTTATCGTTTATATATTTCATTTCACAAATCCATACATCCTTCGTAGATTCAATGCTTTTCTAAAAGTATTCCATGTTAATTTTTATTTTTTTTGATTGTGCGTGCTTCATTCCTATATCGTTCTTCAGATACTGTGTGAGTTCTGAGCATAGCTATTTTTTCAAAAAGTTCACATCCACGGTGAGGCATGTGTTTCGTTTCAAATTATTTGTCATGTTCATGGTTATAGATATTTGTTTCTGTTGTCTACAGATTGTAGGACATTCTTTGGGTGGGGGCACTGCTGCACTTTTGACATATATATTACGTGAACGGAAAGAAATGTCAACCACAAACTGCGTTGCATTTGCTCCAGGTTCATTTATATTGTAATACGAAATTAATCCTCTTCATTTTCCTGTGTATTCTGATAATTGTTTACCTGTGCTTTTGTTAAGATTTTGCTTTCATCAGGCAGGATCTAATATTTAGGGGCTTAATTTTATTTCTGATGCTTCTGTTTTTTACTACCTTGAGCAGCTGCTTGTATGACGTGGGAGTTAGCTGAATCAGGAGCCGACTTTGTTACTTCCGTGATAAATGGAGCAGATTTGGTGCCTACATTCTCTGCTGCTTCAGTGGATGATTTGCGCACTGAGGTATTAATGGATATCTTTCATCAAGTTTCTTTTCAGTCCTTTTTTTCTTTTTGCTTGGCTTGTTGTAATGTAATATGAAGATACTCTCTTTTTTTGCTTATGTACTCCTTATTATTGGGATTTTTTTATTTTTTGATAATTCTATGTTATTCTAGTGTTTTTGATTTCATTCTCTGCTGCTTCAGTGGATGATTTGCGCACTGAGGTATTAATGGATATCTTTCATCAAGTTTCTTTTCAGTCCTTTTTTTTCTTTTTGCTTGGCTTGTTGTAATGTAATATGAAGATACTCTCTTTTTTTGCTTATGTACTCCTTATTATTGGGATTTTTTTATTTTTTGATAATTCTATGTTATTCTAGTGTTTTTGATTAATTGAATATTTGTACTTGATAAGGCAGGAGGAGCATCTCTAGTAGAAATCCAAGTTTGGAAAAATATGTGGCTTGTTTTTCTCTGTTATTATGTTGATCACGTCTCTTTATCATTGATTTAACCCTAGTAAATTGTGGAGCATCTGCACAGGAATATTTGTCTATGTGGTTGCATAGTTTAATAGAACCGCTCACTGAAGAAAGCAGCTTGCTCCACAGCGGGTTCCTACTACTCTTGGGTAAGACAGATATCATGAATACCTTCCAGGTGGCATAATTATTACACGTTGCTCATTTTCGTTTGGGTAATAGTTAACAATGGTGGTGCATGAAGCACCTGTCGTAAAATGCAATTCATTTGAAACCGTGAAATGGGAGGTGACCCTAAACCTCAAACATAAATCTATTGTCATTATTTATATATGGCATTAGATACTATTAATAATTTGTAACTATTCTTCTCCTCTATTTGTACACCGTCACTCATCTCTCAATTCATGCTATATGAAACCATCAAGGAGCGTAGCTCATGGAAATTGGAGCTCCATTTTAACATATGCCTTGCATTTACTTCAAGACTATAGCAAAAACCCATTTTGCTCTCCTCTTTTGATGTGAAACCAAGTGGGTTTTAATTTGTCAGTTCTCACATACAAAAGGGCATCGTGAGTAAACTCTGCCTCTTTTCCTCCTTTATGCGTTTCCAAGATTGTGCTAGGTGCTTTTAAGTGAAGGAGAAGGCTTATCGAGAAAATTTAGGGAAATTAAAAAAATGGAAAAACCTTCAGAGAGAGGGAGGTAATGCATGGATGGTTGGCAGACTTAAACAATTATAAAAAATTATGCCCTCTTAAAAGGCAGGGGGTTCCAGAAGTAAGAGGAAAAAGTAAAAACTAGTATTAATTCTTTGGCCGACTGGTATTGGACGGTTTTGACTTTTTGGTGACCTGTATGGATATGAATATAACTTGGATGGAAAGGTGGCTGGGTCTTGATCCTAGCGTTGGATCGGCCAACTCTGGTAGCATTTGCTACAAGTTGATGCTTGCAAAGGTTTTCTTCCTCCAGAAGGAGCAGGCTGGGAAGTATTGCCCTAAGAGGACTTCATATGTCTACAGGGGCCATAATAGGTGCAAGCCCTGTCCAATCATATTCGTATATTTTTAGTACTCAGCACAACATGTTAAAGAAGTGTGACATGCTAGATTTGGGTTGGGCATGTATCTTTTAGAAGCCAAAATATGTGGTGACTGTGAGTATTTCACTGTCTTCAATCAGAAATGTGTTTCCCTTGTTTTAGTTTCGCTAGATATTTGGCACGATCCCACCTTTGCGATTGGGATTGAATTTTTGGTTTTTAAGTAATTGGGTTCTACTTCATGCTTTATATCCAATGTTGAATGATTTTCCGTGAGTGACATTGCAATCTGCCAGCAAATATATTTCAAGGTGTCACATAATATCACATTCTCGAGATATGCATAAATATGACCATCAAAACTTGATGTCCTTATGTTGATTATTTCCTATATTATTACATATAATTTTATTTGGTATATTTTTGTAGTTAATGATTTTTCTCAACTTTTTGCAGGTTACGGCTTCTGCTTGGTTGAATGACCTGAGGAATCAGATTGAACGCACCAGGGTTCTGAGCACAGTTTATCGCTCTGCTTCAGCTTTGGGTTCTCGACTTCCATCCATGGCCAGTGCTAAAGCCAAAGTTGCTGGTGCTGGTGCAATATTACGTCCAGTTTCCAGCGGTACTCAGGTATGTATATTGCGGTCATGCAATCAGTTCTGCTTTGGATTGTTGTGGCAAGGGAAAATAGCAGCTGAGGTGCCCCAACCTTTGATGTGTTGCACTTTGGTCTGTAACCTCTAATATGAAGCATTTTTGTCCCAAGGTTTCATTTTAGTTTTAGTAGCACATGATCCTCAGGTTGACAACTTTACCCATATTTTTAGTCGACAAGTCAAAATTTTATTAAAAAAGACGATTTCACCCTTATTTTATGTAGACGAAAAAATGAAATAAATAACCAAAGAAACAATTAGGAATAAGAGAGAAGGCAAAGGAAAAATGGGAAAAAAACAAAGAGAACAATTTGGGTTCTCTTCTCCAGTGGGTCACCCCACCACCATACCACCCTCCTCTAATCTCCATTTGCCACCAGTGACCAGCCAACCATACTTGTAGAGACATAAACCAGCTGCAACCAACAACCTTCAAAACTGAACCCTCAGAACCCCCAAGTCTAGTCTGTATTCAACCACCCAAAGAAATAAAACTGCGAGAGAGATTGTTCAATATGGTTATAGCAACACAGAAAAAAAAAAAGGCTAGTTTAAGCATGTCTCCATAAATTTTAGGTAAAAATTGTACTTGTGAATTTTTTCTTTCTTTCTCCTTGTCTCTGTTAAATGAAAAATGAAGGAATACTCTAGTAACATTCATTTTAATTTTATACTAAATTTCTTGTACGGTCTAATCCGGTTTGCCAAACACACCCTTGAGGGTTTTGCTTTATGCACTAGAAGTACATCTCTGATTGACACTGTGATATGGGTTTGAGAATATGACCCTAGAGGCTGTTCATTTTGCCTTCCCTATCAGTACCACTAACAAAATACTGGGAGCTTCATAATGTGAGGGGTGGTATTACCTTTAACCATATGTGCCTATGTATACTTTTTGATCTTTATAATTCCAGATGTATTTAGTTCTATTATATAGGACTGATGTTGTTGTGTTAACTAGGTTGTTATGAAGAGAGCACAAAGCATGGCTCAGGCAGCTTGGTCACGCCCTTACCTACGCTCATGGTCATGCATAGGTCCACGTCTTCGATCCTCAATTGCTCAGATAAATTATAATGAAGGAGAAGACTCATCAGGATCTTCTTCAACTCAAAGAGAAACTTCGGAGCCTTTTCTCACGACCACTGAAGAGACAAGAACGGCTATTGAAAATATGGAACTTCCTGTATCTTCTTCTGATGGAATCGTTGAGAGTTCAGACAACTTTATAGATGAGGTTGGTGTCTCAGATAGTATGGCTACTAAGGATGATGACGACGAGGTTGCGTATGATGTAAGGCATGAAGATCACACAATGGAAATAGAGTTGTGGGAACAACTCAAGCTCAAGCTTAATGAGCAAGCTGATAGTGGTGAAGCCGATGTGGCCAAGGAAATTAGGGAAGAAGAAGAAGCAGCCATTGCAGAAGTAAGTGACAGCCAGACCCAAAGCTCAATCCCAGATGCGAAGGAGGTGCATAGATTTTTCCCTCCGGGAAAGATAATGCATATTGTGACACTAACATCCGACGAAGTGGGCCGTGAGAGTGATAGCAGTATTTCCAATGACGGGGACCAAAGCCAGCCGGAGGAAGAGGCGAAGGTTGGAATTTTTCTCACTCCCAGGTCATTGTATAGTAAATTAAGGCTATCGCATACCATGATAAACGACCATTTTATGCCGGCTTATAGAAGACGAATTGAAAAGCTGATTAAAGAACTTGAGAATGAAGTGACTTCTGATACACACAATTGTAGCTGAGAAATTGAACAGGAAGTGCTGTAAACTGTTGGTAGTGAATTTTGGTCGCATCTTAGTGTTAGCATCAAGAGGACTACACATACCTTAAAGGTGACGTCTTTAACCACAATTCTTTGTTCTGAAAATGATTTTGACATGTGCATAGGCTTAAAGAGTTTTCATTTCCATTGATGGTGAGAGTCCCTTTCGCAATCATGAATTCTATATTACATCATTAAAAGCATTATTTTCTTTGGTCCATCGTCTATTATAAATACACCAATCACCATATGAATGAGAAAATGTTGCCCAACTTATTTAACAATTTTAATGCCCACTTGACTCTTTGCTGCACCACTTTGAATCTCTAAATCATTTCATTTAATTCTTAATTTGCTTTGAAAAGACATTCTCTTTTTCTTGGCCACCCATAATTTGCACGTAATGATCCTACAATCGCTAGTTTGTACGCACGAATATATTCAAGTTTATACACAAGGACGAGGAAGGTAAACGTGAAAGAATGTGTTACAAGAGACGCATAAGAAGTCGACTAGAAGTTCGTACACCTCCAAATTTGTTTCTTGATTCTATTTTGATCTTATTCGCAAAAGACCAACAATAAGATTCATTCTAATTTATCAAAATCCAAGAAAAATTTAAAATGGATATGAAGTAGAAGAGGCAAAAGTCGGAGCAAAAATGGCCTTTGATTTGTCCATGCATTTATTTCTTAGAATAGGCATGCAAAGTCTACCATAGTTTGGGGCAAAATTAAATAAGGTAGATATAAATTAATGAGAATGTGAAAGAAACCTAACATTGCATCAAACGATTTCTTCTTTGCATGATAAAAAAGAATGATTTTCTTTCTTTTTTTTATTACTATTTTAGTGTAAAAAATGAATAAAAGTTTTTAGTTTCACATTTGGATAGTCCTGAAATCTAGCTGGAAAATGAAAATAACACGTCTGAGTGGAACACGTGGCAACAAACCATTGATTGATACGGTATAAAGAAAGCAACATAATCCTTCTTCTTTATATACGCAGATAACACGGAGTCGACGAATCACAGTAATATACAAATTACTTCATACCAGCGTCTGTTTACGTGTACTCTACCTCCATTAATCCATCTCTCTTTTTAAAATTTATTTGATTTGATTGATTCACATTCATATTCAAAAATCTCTCTATACCAAATCATCGTATCCAGTTTTCTGAAATGTCTTTCATGCACACGTTCTTCGTTCCTGAGGAAGCCAAGGTGGGCGACTGGGAGAAGGAAAGATAAGAAAACCCAAATTAAACAGAATTTACTTGTAGATATCCCTCTTGATCAGGTAATTTTTTGACAGAATTTTGTTTTTTATTTCATGAAAAACCCATGTTTAGATTCATCACGTTTGTGTGAATTTGTGGTATTTCAGGCATGTCGACGAGTGTATTCGGTGATTCAATGGTGAAAATTACAGGACAAAATGAGCTTGATTTTGTCGAATGCGATTGCTGTGGATTGACAGAGGAATGCACCCTGTCCTACATAGAGACAGTACGCGAGCGTTATAAGGGAAAATGGATTTGTGGGCTCTGTTCCGAGGCCGTAAACGATGAAGTTAAGCAAAAATCGATAAGCCCAGAAGAGGCCATGGCTCGCCATTTCAGCTTCTGCAACAAATTTAGGTTGGCTGGGCCACCGCCGGACCCAACCCGGCATTTGATCACGGCTATGAGACAGGTTTTAAGAAAAAGCTTAGACAGTCCCAAGTTCATAAGGTCGATGCCAAGTAGTCCCACGAAGAACAGGGGAGATATTAGCATGGGGCTTACTCGATCGGAGAGCTGTATTCCGAGTCTGTCTGAATCGGTTTGTTGTGGAATTGATGAAGATTATGAATAACTAGTAAATTCAAAGTTTCACTGTGTATAAACAAGAAACTAATGAAGTTTAACTCAAAAAGTGCTTAATTCTGATGTATCAATATCATCAATCATGTTAAGAAATGAAAATTACTTCCCTATAATGTGTCTGGTGTTTTCTTTCAATTATGTGGTTAACAATAATTGAGATTCATATTCAGATTTTATAATGATAGGCTATTGTCATGTCTGTATCTTGACGCGAATCGAATCGAATCGAATACAAGCAAGCAATTATTGAAGAAACAGGGGATTTATTATCCTGTCTGCATATATTTGTGAATAAATCCAAGCATGGTTTCCAGAAGATGTGTGTTGCGTAGGTTTTTTGTTCAACTTTCACTTCCACTAATGTAGGATGTTGTCTTTTTGTTTTGTTTTGTTTTTTTTTTAATTTGGTAAAATCCCTGTTTGACTCCAATTTTTTTAAATTTATTTTCCCTCAAAATTATATTCAACCACAAATTTTATAGAACTAGTAATTTTTATCAACTTTTCAATCATACATTCATTTATTTTTATCAAAATCTACTTTTAACCAAACCAAAAACAGAGACTAAGCATTTTAAAAGGGCAATCAACTCTACAATGCTTTTGTTCGTTTTTTTTAGGACTAAGATATGATTCATGCTTATCAATCTCACGAGATTTTTCAAGCTAAGGCTTGGGGTGGACTGTTGATCGGACGTGGTTATAGTTGATGGGGAATTGATGGCGTCTTATTAGAATTTGG